TCGGGTTGAGAATTTTTCAACCCAACCCAGCCCAAGGTTTATTCCGGGTTGGGTTGGGTTCGTCGGGTTCATCGGGTTGTCGGGTTTTTTGAACACCCTTAGGGAGGAGTGTGCCGGCCAAGGGGGGCTGGGGTGCACGCACCACTGTGCCAATGTAAGACAATAAAGTGAACCGTTTTATTTGCTATATAATAAATAATACTTTAGAGTAGAGGGGGGCTCAAGCCTCCTCTCGACCTAGGGTGGATCCGCCTCTGTTTGTAATAGGTTTATGAGTTTCTTACGTTATATATATCTGATCCATGTAATTTAAAAATTTTCTAATACCTGCGAATCTCCAATTTTGTTTCTAATAAACGTATCTACTATATATTAATATCATCAATTTACCGTGTTTACACCATGCACCAAATGCTTAAACCTAGCATGTAATCAATTTGTTACATTGGAAAAATACACATTTAGTTCTTCAGCCTTAAAAATAGTTCTACATGGTCCGAAATTTAAGTGACTGTTAGTCAACTATGTATTATTATTTCTCATTGTGTTGTAGAGTACATTACCAATTATCAAAAACACTTTCAACAAACTCTTAAATTTAGATTTAATTTATGAAAGCCGCACACATACTTGAAAATCTGTAAATACATAAAATAGCACTTTGTTTTGGTTAAGTCTCAAGTTTCAGATCACCAATCAAAATGAATTCAACTAAAAATGGTCAAATTTTATATCGGCAGTGACACTAAGAAATAAAGTAAGACTACAATGAGTTTAAAGTAAGGCATCCAATAATGGGACTAGAAAAAGCAAAGCTAGCTCCACAACAGAAGTTCCAAAACACATCTCCCCACTAAACAAAAACATAATTCCTCTTCTTTTTCCCTTCTCTATTTCCAAGAAAAAATAAATACTAAACAAGGTCATTATATAGATAAAAGTATTGTTTGGCCCAAAATATATACTACACTACAATCCCACCATTTCTCACCTCTCTTTCCCACACACCCTCAACAGTTGCCA